TATAAATGGGACAGTAGGACAGGGACGGTAGCAGTGGTGGGATTCAAATAATTTAACAACCAGTTCTCTGCCCTAATGATTTCTTCCAACGATCAGTTCACCAAACTGCTCAGAAAGTTAACAACCGGTTCTCCTGAAGTGGTGCGAACTGGCTTAATCTGGCGAACTGGGCACACTGCACAAAAAAATAAAGTGCTGAACTAATACTCTATATAGAAAGGGCTTATATATGGATATGGAATCACCATATAGATTACATAGCCACCTTGCTGAATCCTTGAAATTTGTGGAACTTGGTAACAATTGAACTTCTACTGGACAAGGAGAGATCCTTAAATATATCTCTACTTTTTAAAGCCATGGGCATGTGGGAAAGACATATAATTAGTTTCTAGTGCTGCTTTGAATTATAGAGTTTTTACGAATCTTTTACAACCATGGCTTGCTGATTAGATGTTGAAAATCTTGGTAAGACTTTCAAGATCTATAAAATATGTCTTTATTGAAAGTAAGAAAATGCCATTTAATAACCATGGCTCTTTGCTTGCCCCGACAGGTTTGTCAAAGACAGACGTCCCTCCATATCACCCAATTTCAACTTCTTAGGTCAACTCCTAGAGTATGAGAGAAGTTTGAAGCTGCTCAAGGCTTTGAAGGCTCAAGGAGAGAAAGGGGAAGGGGAATCCCAGCAAGAATACTTTGAGACTTGTGAAGGTAATAGACCCCAGACTCTTTCTCTCTCAGAAAAGACTGAGGAGGTATTAAAAAGCACAATCTTGGAAACATCCTGCATTGACTCTGAGCGATCACTAGGGATTTCAAAGGTTGTCTCACCCATGGCGTTGCAGCAAGGACTCAATGGGCTGCATTTATCTTCTGATCGCATCCAAGACACCAACCGACTCAAGCGTTCTTTTTCTCTGGACATCAAGTCAGCCTACTGTCCTACCCAAAGGCAGGAGAGCCCGGTTCCTACCGAAGTAGGGGAAACTCCCAAGCTTTGTAAGTTGGACAGCCCTTCGGGTCCCAATGGTACCTGCCAGTTCTCTCCTCTTCCAGACGGTTCTGACTGGCCCAGCGGACCTGACTTCATTCTAGAGGCCAAAGTACGACAGCGACGGAAGCACAGGCACCAAGCAGGCTCCCCTGCCCATGGGCTGAGCCTTAATTTCAGTGGGATGTGTGCCATGCACAAAAGCACCAGCATGGAGGACAATCTCAAGCAGACCCTTCGGCTGAGCCTTCCCAATGTAGGGCAGCAGCTGGCACAGCCAGCCACCGCCCCCTCCAACGCTGGTACTTGGGGGATGCACGTGGAGTCCCCAAGCACGCCTACCTCGGAGAACCCCTGGTACTTCGGCACAGACTCGGCAGCGGGCAGCAAAGGCGGCGGGAGTGGAACTCTCTTTGCCAGCGCCACCACCTACTCTTCATTCAGCTGCAGCACAATCCAGGCAAGCTGCGAGATCAGACTGAGGGACAAGCAGCGAGGAGAGCAGCGAGAGGTGCGGCACAGCTGGCACGAGGACACCATGCCTGAGAAGCAGTTCAAAAGAAGGAGCTGCCAGATGGAATTTGAAGAAACCTTATCGGAGAGCAGATCTCGGGAAGACCTGGGCAAAATTAGCAAACAGTCTAGCTTTTCAGGCAGCATGGAGATCATAGAGGTGTCCTGATGTTCACTGTGTGAGATTTGAGAGCAGATGCGGGTGCATCTGGGGGTGGGTGGGAGGGGAATGGAGGTAGGGGCGAGGAAGAAGATGGGTGACATATTTAACAGAGGAGGAGGAGGGCGTGGGTGTGGGTGTAGGAGCATTTTTATTCATGTGCCCATGTGCATTTCCAACGGGCATATCCTCTAAAACGAAGGCTAAAGCTAAAGGAATCTGAAGTCAAGAAACATAATGGTGCATGCTTAGTGCCTCCTTTGGTTCCTACCTCCACCACCAGGACAAACCACAATCACATTCCCTTTCTTGGGTAGGTGGAGAGTATATTAACTCTTTAAATATTGGGTTCTTTCCTTTTGCATGCAAAGGGTGCTTTCTCTTCCCCTTTGGAGGGAACGGGGAGAGCTGATGCATGTGTCCTACGATGGGGTTGAAAGAGAAACTAGGGAGAAATTGAAGCTTGGGAGGGAGTGAAAGTTGTCTGGGAGAAAAATGGTTGCTCTTTGGTCCGCAGATTTGCAACAGGAAGAGTTAAAGGGAAGCAGGTTCTTTTCTTTGAAGAGTGTATTACTAATTATAATGAGTACATTCCTATCTAACTTATAGGAAGGAATTGAGATTTTTGCCTATCCGTTTCCATTACAGCAGGGGCATTTCCTTTCTATTCCATCAGGGTTGGACAATATATTGGTGGCTCTTTCCCAAATTCAGGTGCAGAAACCTGGAGAGGTTTCTTTTCCGGGGCTCCCCTCTTCCTATACTGAGCATGGGCCTTTGTGTTTCTCTGGCTAGCGTTCTTTAAAACTGCTGTTCCGCAGTCCTTATACATATATAAATATATATTATATATAATATAAAAGAGAGGAAAAAAAAACCACAAAGAAAAAAAGTTTAAAGGTTTTACTACAGTTTTTATTGAGACAAATAATTTTCGACTTTTCTTTCTAATTTATTTGAAGCTGTTCATTCTGGCAATGATTTTCAGACAATGTAGGGGCAGCACTCCAGCTCTGTTTTTATGTATATGGTATTTAAAATCTGAAACACGAGTTTCAAAGCAATATCTTAGGCCTGTGGCTCCTTCGATGGCTTGCATCAGTGGTGGAGGCACCCCCAAAAGAGATAAAAGAGGTGTGTTTGTGTGTGTGTTTGTGTGTGTGTGTTTGCATGTCCACACATGCGTGAGTGTGTGGGCATCTGCTTTTTATTTTTTTAAAAACGTGAGAAAATCTTTTAACTCAAACTGAGCCAGGAATTCTTCTTAATGCTTCTTTATTTTCCTTGTTCTATCACACCTTGCAATCAAAGCCATAAAACCTTCTCCTTCCTGGGACTGAGCAGGGGGTAATAATGAGAGTTGGGGCTGTTAAGAATAGGCTTGACTGTAAGAAAAAAGGGTACCTTGAATAGGAAGAGTGGAGCAGGGTGCATAGGAGCTATGTATTCATTTAAATATGTGCCATCTGTAAAAGGAGCACATTAGATCTAAACCCAGGGGTTTTTTGTTCAGTGGGGAGAGCTTTTCAGAAGGCCAGAGTATTTAATTTCCCGTTGATTTAGGAGAACTGGTGGGCTCTTAAACCCAAGGGAAGGCTACTCTGAATGGCTCCTCTTGTTCAAACAATGTTAAACCCAGTATCTGTGGAAGGCAGGTGGAGCTGGAAGAGAATTTTGGAGAACTAAGACCATGAAAATGTTGAATAAATTATGTTGTGGTACTGGAGTAAAAATCTCTTACATATCCTCAGGCCTATTTTAGGGAAGCTGCCGGGAGGCAGTGTCTTTTTACTACTGCAAGATCCGACATTTTAGCTTCAGTTCCCCATCCAAAATCTCTTGTCTCCTCTAAGTATTCATTCACCATCGATCAGGGAATTTTTTCAGTGAATGCAAATCAGTCAGTGAGCAAATAGTCCAAAGACAAAGTTCACATAGCAGGTCATCAAAGTGAACAGCCTTTCAAGAAATGAAGTTCTAGAAAAGATACAGGATATTTTAGATGTAGTGTGAAGCGCTTGCCAGCCCATCCCAAACTCAGTTTTCATCATCTATCTTCTCGGCCTCCAGAATATTATTAAGAGCTTCGGTTCGATAAGAGATTTTGTCTTGAATTTAAGACACTAGTGTCGATGACTGAGACAAGAAAACTAGTTTTGAAGGTTTCATCTAAAGTCACTTGGAAGTAATTTGGATGAAAGTTTTTCTGCAGGTAACATTTTTCTTCTTAGGGAGGAAAGGTTTCTCTGGCACCTTTTAAAAGATGTACCATATTTTTCAGACTATAAGTCACTCTGAACTACGTATAAGATGCACATAGCTTTTGGGGAGGAAAAAAAAACTACTACTGCCTCCCAGCAGTTTGCCTCCTTGCAGCAAACAGCCTGGTCAGCTTCAGCACAGCCTGATTTAACACAAGCAGCTGATTGGTAGTTGGATCAATCTCACGGAATACCGCCTATCAGCTGTTCCAGGCTGCGGGGGATTGCCATCGCCACCTCCACGTGCCCCATTTTTGGCCTCTGCACATCCCATGTTCTGCCACTGCCTATCTCCGCCGCCTGGAACGAGCCGAAAATGCGGTTTATGGAGGCCAAAAATGGGGTGCACAAAGGCCAAAAATGGGGCATGTGGAGGTGGCGATAGGCAATGGCAACAGCGGCGATAGGCGGTGGCAATCCCTGCAGCCTGGAATAGCTGAAAGGGAGGCAGATCTTATTGCCAATCAGCTGCTCATGCTGAAGCTGACCAGGCTGTTTGCTGTTTGCTGCAAGGAGGCAAATTGCTGGGAGGGCAGAGGCTGAAGAGTGGGGAGGGGGAACAAGTGGATGGGGCTTTGGCAACATTCACTCTATAAGACACACAGACATTTCCACCCACTTTTGGGAGGGAAGTGCATCTTATACACTGAAAAATATGGTATATCTTAAATCAGAAGAGGCCGTGGTCAGCTCAGGATTTTTTTCACACCACAAGCGGATAATTGGACCTTTCCCAGTTGTTAAAATATGCTAATAAAATCACAAATGTAAAATAGATCACTTCTGACTGATAGAAACACCCCACTCAATCAACTTGATACTAGAACTGGCCTTAGATGAGGGGAAAAATGAGTTTCACATTACTGAACAGTAGGCTGATTCAAATGTGCTAATGGTGGAGAAGATTGTTTGAGAAATACTACACACCGCTGGTTTTCCAGCAGGGTAGGAGAGATTATTTGTAAGCCACTGACTGTGTAGATGAGCTCAACCAAGCAGAGGATTTCCCCCTCAGTGGGTCACTTCCTTGTGACCCACTTGTGTGGAAGCTCTCCATGGAAGTGAGCTGCTTTAACCTGGTAAATGTTACAATCCCAGTGTTGTATGAAATATTTGTCGAAGGCCTCTATTTCAGAGGGCCATGTTGTTTACATTGCCTTGAACAGGTACAAAACGGAACTTTAGGGCAAGCAAATAATCATGCATGTCAAGATAATAATTGGCCACAAGTATACAAACCCAGTCGAAACACAAGAGTGGGAAGGATGTTGCACACATTTTCATTATTGGCTACCCTGGACGTATTTGTGACGAGCAGCAAAGGATTCAGCTCCGTTCATGACACGGAGACACCCCAGGGGCTGCTCATCTATTTAAAATAAAGGCACAGAACTGTCTCCCTGAAAGCACATTTTCTTCTTTGTGTATCTGATTTTGCATTTGTTCCTTTCGTATCACGTGCTGGGTTGTCTTTTTTTTTTTTGAGCCAATACCTCAGGGTTGTTTGTGTAGCTTTTAAAAGGAAAAAAAAAATCTTTTTAGTGCATTTATTTTCCCATTTCTTTTCTTGTTCAGCTGTATTTTTTTTTTTAAATACACAAGACAAAAATAACAATCTCAGGTTCAGACTTTGCAAACCACAGGGGAGCAGCAATAACATGTTCTTGCATCAGGTTGTCTGTTTCCTGACCATAGTAATTGCTGTCTACTTTGCCAAGACACAAAGTAGAGAGATCTTCATTGTATTTATTTTACCACTGTCTGTTCAGATTAGATGCTGCAAGCTCGGGAGTGACTTATGTGGACCTGCATGCTATTTTGCAAGTAATATGCAGAAGGGCATTGGACAGTGGGACTGGAGAGATGCTATTAGGTTCTCACACTGGTAGTATAATTATCTCTTTAAAAAAACAACAACTGTTGAATTGTTATCGTGAAAGCAAGATGAAATATTCGGCTGCTGCTTTCTTGCAGTCTGGTTTGGTTCAGTATCCACAGATGCGAAAAGATCAAAATCCTCATTTCACCTGAGCGCTTGCATCAGAAGTGCAGATGAAAAGTTCCACCTTAGGGATTTTTGATCTTGTGAAATTTTGATTAAAGTAGAATTAGCACGAACCAGTTAGGTTTGATGAGCTGGGGTTAGGTGCTTCCTCTCATCGATACTTATGAGAAATATAAGTATCACCAAAAGTTTTCAGATAGGCTGGGCAAATGAACAATCGGGATAACGTAGAAATATCAGATTCCTGCATTACTCTGAAATAACTTACCTTTCAAGATGCCAAGATCTTTTAAGCTGGCTTAAAGTGAGGGTAAGGGGAGCAGTCACATACCTTACTTTTGAATAGAATGCCAGTGCTGACTTTCCTCAAATATAGCCAAAAGTCACATAAGGCTCAATATTTGCAGAAAAAATAAGGTGATTATCATATAATGCTAATCAGAGCCAGGTTGAGAACCATAAAGCAGTTTGTTTGGGGTGCAGCTGACTCTAACAGTACCATTGTCTTGCTGCTAGCTCTCCATCTCCAGAATGTGGAGAGAGAGGCGGTGGGGGGGGGGGATAGGTGTCACTTTAACGTCACACCAGGTACAAAATTATCTAACATCCTTGGTCTTACATAGGGATTTTTCCAACTTGCAGCACCTTTTTTTCCTCCTCCCCCCCCCCGCCCCCGTGACAAAAAGTTTTGTTAGCTTTGTTTTGAAGGCTTTGCTGTGATTCTTCACTCTTCTGCCTGTTTT